TCCATTTCATCTCGGCAAATGGTTTCTCCTCCCACCCCTGCCCGGTCACCTGGGGGTACCCCAGGGCTCCATCCTTGGCCTCTCTTTTCCTTATCTATATGCTCCCTCTGGGTGATGTCATTGCAGACATGGGGTAAACTTCCACATGTATGCAGATGACACACAAATCTACTTTGCCTCCTCCAGCACCAACTCCAGGTCTCTAATGCTCTATCAGATTGTCTGGTAGACATCAGAGTCTGGATGAGCGCAAACTTCCTGCAGCTGAATATGGACAACACGGCAGCCATACTCCTTGACTCCATTCAACATCTTCAATCCTACAAATCAACTCCTCAACCTCCCTGGGCTCTCCCTCACACTCACGGAACCAGTTCACAACCTAGGCATCCTGTTCAACCCCCAGCTGCCCTTCCCACATCCGGTCCCTGACCAGGACCTCCTTCTTCCACCTCTGCCACATTGCCCGCCTCCGACCATACCTTACCCCAGAGCAGCCGAAACCCTCGTGTATGTGTTTGTCACCTCCCGCCTGAATTACTCCAACCCTCTCCTCGCTGTCTCCTCAGCTGCACAAGATCAGCTCATTCAGACTCTGCCGCCCACATACTGACCCCGCACTCCACACCCACATCTCCCCACCTCTGGCCCCGGCTCCACTGGCTCCCCATCACCAACACATCCACTTCAACATCCTCACTCTCGTTTTCAAACCCCTTCACTCCCTGGCCCCTCCCTCTCCGACCCCCTCACTCCCCAATCCACCACCCGGCACCTCCGCTCGACTGGCACCGGCTCCGCTCGTCCCTCACACCCTCCACCCCATCATCGGAGGTCGCGCTTTCACCCATTAGGCCCCGAAACCCTCCCTCAATTGCTCCACCTTGCCCCCTCCCCTTTTTCAAGGGTCACCTGGAAACCTTCCCCTTCGACCGTGATCATGGACACCTGGACAGTCAAAGGTTAGCAATTGGCTGTCGTATTTTGTCCACAAAATATACAGTCAATTCACTTTACAGTATATGGGAAGCACTTTGAGACATCCCGATGACATGATAAGGCGCTGTATCAGATGCAAAGGTTATAAGTGGGGTGTAGCCAAGAGGGATGGGGTGTGGGAATGATCGAATGAACAGTCAAAGAGTGGGGTCTTGAGATGGGCCTTGAAGGAGGCAAAGGGAGACGGCAAGGCAAAGGGATTCCGGGATGGAGTTCCAGAGGCAGAGAGGCTGAAGGTCTGATCGCTGATGCTGGGGCGGGCCGGGCGGGGACACGTGCCTACGGAGGGAGCAGAAAGGTTGGTAAGGTCACAGAGGTCAGGAGGAGCAAGACCATGGATGCCTTTGAAAGTGCTGCATACCTGTGCTGCCTCTTGAATAGTGCTTTGGGATTTTTAACATCCACCTGGCTTGACTAAGCCAACTCTCTGCTCTCTGCTCGCCAGACTTCCTAACTCTTCCCTCCGCTGGCTATATACAAGCAATTCATTCTTGTTGAAAAGGTAGATAAGACCTTGTTTTTAACGGCTCGTCCAAAGGACGGCACCTCTGACAATCCAACACCCCCAGCACTACATTTTCTGCTTAGATTGTGTGAGTTCTGGACCCGATGTGAGGGTTTGAACCCACAATCTTCTAACTCAGGCGTGAGTGCTATTACTGAGCCGGACCGACACACACTGAGCCGGGCCGACATACACTGAGCCGGGCCGACACACACTGAGCCGGGTCGACACGCACTGAGCCGGGCTGACACACACTGACACACACTAAGCCGGGCTGACACACACTGCTGTATCCCTGTAGTTGGCTCAGAGATGTCAAAGTCATATTGGAAACCAAAAAAAGCCTAGTTCCCATGTTCCCAAGTAAAATGAGGAGTGAGGAAAGCAAGATATGGGCCCATATGAGAACAGGAGGATGGTGTGAAACCCTTGTCCATGCCTTTGTCACTTCCCACCTCAACTACTCTAATGACCTGCTCACCAGTCTCTCCAGCTCCACTATTCACAAACTACAACTCGTTCACAACTCCACCTCCTATATTCTCACCCACACTAAACTACATACCCCCATCACACCAGGCACCATTGGTTCTCTATCACAGAACAAATCAATTTCAGGATCCTTTCACTTGGCTACAAATCCCTTCATGCTTTGGCAATTCCCTACCTCTTTGACCTGCTTACTCCCCAACCCACCACTCACTGCCTTCGCTCGGCTGGCTCTGGCTTCCTGCTTGTCCCTCGTCTCCTTTGCTCCACCATCGGCAGCCGTGCTTTCAGCTACTACACCCCGAAAGTTTGAACTCTCTTCCCCAATCCCTCAGCCTTGCATCCTCCTTCCCCTCTTGGAGTCCTGTAGCTCAGTGGTTAGAACACTTGCCTCGCAAACGAGGGACCTGGGTTCGATTCCCGGCAGGGCGAAACCTTGGGCAAGTTTCATTACTCCACACGCCTAATAATAATCCCTCAAGGAAATAAATAAAATAACAATTTGGTCACTCAATCCACAACTGTTTGTGGGACGCTGCTGTGCGCAATTGGCTGCTGAGTTTCGCCAAGAAAATATACAGTCATTTCACTTTACAGTGTATTCTGAGAAGCGCTTTGAGAGGTCTCGAAGACACGATAAGGTGCTGTATCAAATGCAAGGATTATTATTATTTTAAATCAGGACTGAAGACCTTCCTCAACCGTGCTTATGTCACCTCCCCCATCCCCCTGGCTTGGTGTCAGGCTCCGCCACTGTTAAATGTTCTCAGACGCTGCTCTGCGTGAAGACCGCTGTGTAAATGCAGTTGTTATTGTTTGTATAATCCCTGCTCCGACAGCACATCACATTGCAGTTTTCCCCGTTCTTGGTTCTTCATAGAAAAGTCACATTTTTTACAATTTACCAGCTATGTTTTATTAATCTATCGTTTGCTGTGGTTTTACGGTCAGTAACAATAATTACAAGATTATTTATTTTCTTTTGTGACTCGGTCAATAACACAATGGTGTACTGCTGAAATTGCATGTCCATAAATAAAGTGACTGCATTTAGCTTAAAGCAAGTGGAAAAGGAAAAAAATATTCATATTGATTGGGTTTCTTTGGGGTTTGAACAGTTGCTTATTTTTCAGAGTTCTATCTTTTCCTTCATCCCAATTTCTCCTCTTCTCCCTTTGGAACTCCATCCCACAGTCCTTTTTCCTCACCCCCTCACTCTGCTCCTTCAAGGCCCATCTCTTTGACTGCGCCTTTGGTCATACTCCTACCCCCACCCTCCCTGCCGTCCAACCCTCCTGATTCCAATCCCCAGCTCGGGTCCAATTCCCTGACTGTCCAGCACCTTGGGACATCCTCCTGGTGTGAAAGACGCTGTGTAAATGTAATGCGTTGTTGTAGAAAGCATTAGACTCCACCCAGGGGTTTCCCAGCACCTCACTTGGCAGCTGAACAGTGACAAGGAACAATATTGCAGCTGAAGCCAATCTTTGCTTGACATCCAAGTATGGAAATTTTCCAGCAGGAGCTGCCCCTAACAGTGATCAGAGAACCCTGGCCCTCTGGTTACCCATCAATAAGTAGGAACCTGATAGTTAGTTGATTCATGGACAGCTTTTCCAGGGGTAATAATCCATTAAAAAATATTTTTTTTACTCAATCCACGTCTGTTTGTGGGACATTGCTGTGCGCAATTGGCTGCCGTGTTTTACCCACAAATATTATAATAATAATGATCCTAGTGCTTTATCCCGTCATTGAGACCTCTCAAAGGATATATTGTGAAGTGAACTGACCCTGTATTTTTGGGATGAAACACTGCAGCCGATTACACACAGCAGTGTCCACAAACAGTAGATGTAGTATATTTAGTATATTTAGATTTTAAAAAGGCATTTGACAAAGTGCCACACAAAAGTCTATTACACAAGGTTAAGGCCCACGGGATTAATGGGAACATTAATTGATTGAAGAGTGGCTAACTGGTAGAAAACAGAGAGTAGGGATAAACGTGTCATTCTCGAATTGGCAGGAGGTGACTAGTGGAGTGCCACAAGGATCAGTGCTGGGCCTCAGCTATTTACAATTTACATCAATGATCGACACGAGGACATTGAATGTAACGTATCTAAAATCGCGGATGACACTAAACTCAGTGGGAGAGTGAGCTCTGCGGATGATGCAAAAAGATTGCAACGGGATATAGATAGGCGAGGGGGGTGGGCGAGTAGGTGGCAGATGGAATTTAATGTGGGGAAGTGTGAAGTTATTCACCCGGGTAGAAAAAATAGAAAAACAGATCATAGGGGACTGACCTATGAGGAGAGGCTGAATAAACTGGGGCTGTATTCTCTATAGTACAGAAGAATTAGGGGGAGATCTTATTGAAACATATAAGATTCTTTAAGGGCTGATAAAGTAAACACTGAGGGTCTGTTTCCCCGGTGGGAGAATCTATAACCGGGGGTCACAGTCTTAAAATTAAGGGTCAGCCTTTTAGAACAGAGTTGAGGAAACATTTCTTCACTCAGAGGGCAGTGACTTTATGGAATTCACTCCCCCAGAAGGCTGTAGATGTCAGTCCTCGAACATCTTCAAGGCTGAGACTGATAGATTTTTAAAAAACAGAGGGATTAGGGGATATGGGGAGAGGGCGGGTAATTAGAGTTAGGTCAGGAGATCAGCCATGATCTTATCGAATGGCGGGGCACAGGCTCGAGGGGCCGAATGGCCGACTCCTGCTCCTAATTCTTATGTTCTTATGTAACAGTCATGGATTAATTGACCAATTTAAAAAGAAATGTTTGGAGTGATTTATACCCCCAGAAAGCAATCCTCCAATTGACTAACAACCAGGTTCCTGCTGACTGCTGGTAAACAGAGGCGTGAGTGTGGAGTAAGGGAATTGGCCAACTGGAATTGAACCCTTGTTCTCTCGCTTGCGTGGCGAGTGTTCTAACCATTACTCTATGGAACTACACTTAATTTCTCTTCCTCCCCTTTTTTACAGAAATCCTATTTGCAAGCAAGCGTCATCATTTACAAACTCAGGAGTCAACTATAAATGAAGATAAGAAGGAGTGCATAGCTAAGAGGTAAAGTTGTCTAAAAGTCTGACTGATGTATTGTCGATACGTGCTTGTTCTTGTTTTCTGTACATGATAGATGGGTGAATTGGGAACCTCCACTAGGATGAAGGCAGTTACAACTATAAAACCATTGATTGATATGTCATAACTCTCCCCGTTATGTGACCATTACAATACTGTGTTGTCATGGAAAAGATTTTATTTATTCCAACACAAATAAAGCTCGTAATATTTAAAAAAATATAAAATTGGGACGAGATTTATTTTTCTTGGCATTTCCCAGCTTCAAGTGTCAAAACTGAAACTTTTTTTCAACATGTCTTTGTCAATGCATCCAGAAATAGTGCTTGTGTGCATTACTTCATGAAATGTCTTCACTGTCTACAGTGCTCTCAATGGCAAGTTATGTGGTTTTAGCTGGTTAAAATCCAGCTGTTACTCCCCCTCAGTCCACACTCTGGGGTCCACAAGCCTTGCCTCCTGCCAACCTGTGCCTAATTCTCTCCAGAATTAGGTAAGCAGGGAGAAAGTGCACATTCCAGACACCAGGATATTTCCATGTGTAGGTCCATACACATGTGGAATCTGTGGTTTGGATACTCTAGCACATTGATGGGTTGCTGCATGTCAGACACCTGGCTGATCAAACAAAGTCCTTTTTGTACAAGCAGCAAATTATTTTTGCTTTTGCTTTTGCAGCATTTTGGGGAAGAGTCCTGTAGCTCAGTGGTTAGAGCACTCGCTTTGCAAGTGAGAGACCTGAGTTCAATTCCAGGCAGAGGGCGAAACCTTGGGCAAGTTTCCTTACTCCACACAGAGCCTAATAATAATCCTCCAAAAACCAAAAACAATAATAAATTGGTCATTTTCAATCTACGACTGTTTGTGGGACATTGCTGTGCGCAATTGGCTGCCGCGTTCGCCCACAAATATACAGTCAATTCACTTTACAGTGTGTTCTGTGAAGCGCTTTGGGACGTCCTCCCGACGTGAAAAGCGCTATATCAAATGCAAGGATTATTATTATTATTAAGAGAGTTCAAGATTTAATCTGAAACTTTCCCAGCCCGAGAAACGGGTTCGATTACCCGATGGGACGAAACTTTAGGCAAGTTTCCTGACTCCACACGCCTCTGTTTATCCAGCAGTAATTAGGAACCCGGTTGTTAGTCAATTGGTGGATCACTTTCCAAGGGTAATTTTTATTTTTTTTAAAAAAATTGATAACTCAGTCATAGAATTATGCAGCTCAGAAGGAGGCCATTCGGCCCATCGTGTCTGTGCTGCTCTTTGAAAAGAGTTTCCAAATCAACTCCACTCCCCCGCTCTCTCCTCATAGCCCTGATCAACCCCACTCCCCCACTCTCTCCCCATAGCCCTGATCAACCCCACTCCCCCACTCTCTCCCCATAGCCCTGATCAGCCCCACTCCCGCGCACTCTCCCTATAACCCTGATCAACCCCACTCCCCGCTCTCTCCCCATAGCCCTGATCAGCCCCACTCCCCCGCGCTCTCCCCAGGCAGAGGGCGAAACCTTGGGCAAATTTCCTTACTCCACACAGAGCCTAATAATAATCCCTCCAAAACCAAAAACAATAATAAATTGGTCATTTTCAATCTACGACTGTTTGTGGGACATTGCTGTGCGCAATTGGCTGCCGCGTTCGCCCACAAATATACAGTCAATTCACTTTACAGTGTGTTCTGTGAAGTGCTTTGGGACGTCCTCCCGACGTGAAAAGCGCTATATCAAATGCAAGGATTATTATTATTAATGCATTCCAGATCCCAACAACTCGCTGTGTGAAAACATTTCTCCTCCCCTCCCCTCCGTTTCTTTTTAACAACTATTTTAAATTGGAGCCCTCGGGTTACCGACCCACCTCCAGTGGGAATAGTTTCTCCTGTTCACCCTATCGAATCCCCTCATCATTTTGAAGACTTCCATTATGTCTCCTCTTAACCCTCTCTGCTCCCAGGAGAATAATCCTGGCTTCTCTCACCTCTCCTGATAACTGAAGCCCCTCATTCCTGGTACCATCCTGGTCAATCTCCTTTGCACCCTCTCAAATGCCTTGACACCCTTCCTAAGTGTGGGGCCCAGAACTGAACACAGTCTCTCGCTGAGGCCCCACCAGTGTCTTATATAAAGGTTCATCATAACTTCCTGACTCGTGTATTCTATGCCCTATTTATAAAGCCGAGTATCCCGTCTGCTTTTTTAACAGCTTTATCTGCCTGTCCGCCATCTTCAAAGGTTTACTATATGACCCCCAGGTCTCTCTGTTCCTTCACCCCCTTTAGGATTGTACCATCGGCTTATATTGCCTCTCCTCATTCTTCCTCACAAAATGCATCACGTCACATTTCTCCACATTACAACAACAATAACAAGATTCCATGTGTATAGCGCCTTTCACATCAGGAGGACGTCCCAAGGCGCTTGGACAGTAACAGCATTTCAGACCCGAGCTGGGGTCAGGGGAGGAAGGGAAGGGAGCGGAAGGGGGGGGTGGCCGATGGCATGGTCAAAGAGGAGGGTCTTGAGGGGGGACTTGAAGGAGGCTAAGGAGGGGGCGAGGCAGAGTGACTGAGAGATAGCATTCCAGAGGTTGGGGGCAGAGTGGCTGAAGGCTCTCCCGCCACTGGTGGGGCGGGTGGGTCGGGGGACATGGAGCAGCCAGAGCCGGCTGAGCGGAGGGAATGGGCGGGTTGGTAGGGGGTTAGGAGGTCACAGAGGTAGGGTGGGGCGAGGCCATGGAGGGCTTTGTAGGTGAGGATCAGGATCTTGAACTGGATTCTCTGAAGGATAGGGAGCCAATGGAGTCGGGCGAGAGTGGGGGAGATGGAGTCACAGTGTTTGGTGGGGGCGAGAGTGGGAGAGATGGGATCACGGAGTTTGGTGCAGGAGAGGACACGGGCTGCAGAGTTAGTTCTGGATTATGTGCAGCTGTGGAGGGAGGAGTTGGGAAGGCCGACACACAGGCGTTTGCATAGTCGAGCCTGGAGGTGATGAAGGCATGAACAAGAGTTTCAGCGCCTGAGGGGTGAGGTAGTGGCGGAGTTGGGTGATGTTACGGAGGTGAGGGAAGGCAGAGCGGGTCATGGCTTGAATATGGGGGAGAAAAGACAGTTGAGGGTCAAATAAGACACCCAGGTTCCTGACTGGCCGGTGAGTTGTAGTGAGCAAACATTAAACTTCATCTGCCACGTGTCTGCCCATGTTACCAGTCTGTTTATGTCCTCTTGCAGTTTGTTACTATCCTCCTCACTGTTTACTACTTTTCCTCGCTTAGTATCATCTGCAAACTTGGAAATCCCTATACCCAAGTCCAGGTCATTTATATAGGTCGAAGCCAAAAATCCACGAATGTTTGTGGAACGCTGCCATACGCAATTGGCTGCTGCATTTTGCCTAAAAAATATGAAGTCAATTCACTTTCGAGTATATCCCATGAAGCGCTTTGAGAGATGTGAAGGCGCCATCTTAATTACAAGGCTTATTATTAAGATGTATAATGTCATGTTGGAGTAGAGGAGAGTCAAAATGTTAATGATAGCCTCAGTGATTGGGGTAAAGAAACCCCCATGGTCACTTTAGGGAGCTGGGGAATAAGGTGCAACAGAGCTCAGCAGAGCAGTAGATTATTGTGCAATTGGAGTCACAATGGGCAATAACCATAAAGAAACTCAAAAAAATACCAGAAACAGATGGAGGTTTCAGTAGTCTGATGTTGGTAACATTAGTCTGACTTGATGTGTTAAAACTGATATGGTGTTCATGTTTTTTATTTTGTGATGTGCTTTGAGAGAGCTTATTTTAAGTAATGCTATATAAATGTAAATTATTATTAATTTTCCTTCACATGTAACATCAGGAAATCCTGTTATAACACACTTTGATATAGAATTACATAGACTGAAACTTCACACAACCCTGCTACTCCCCTCCTGTTGCCCTCTCCTATTCCCTTCTCCTACTACCCTCTTCTACTCCCCTCTCTCATTCCCCTCTCTCATTCCCCTCTCCCATTCCCCTCTCCCATTCCCCTCTCCTACTCCCATCTCCCATTCCCCTCTCCCATTCCCCTCTCCCATTCCCCTCTCCTATTCCCCTCTCCTATTCTCTTGTCCCACATATACCCATCAAGCTTTCTTGTTTTTTAACCTTTAACTTCACGCTTCTTGCTCCACCACTGCTGAGTTTCCCTCCTCTCCTCTCACAGCCTCTCCCTCCACATGAACTCCGCCACTCACATGCATGGCCACCCGCTAGACCCGGTGATCCCCAGGGGCCTTCCCATCTCTGATGTCACCATCACTGACAATGACATTTCATCCCGTAACTTCTCCATCCCCCTCACTGTCACCTACCCCACGTGCATCTCCTATCGCCCCTGGAGAAAAATTCCCCTCCATGCCCACTTGGCTACCCTGGAGACATTTGTACTCCTACCCCTCTGGCTCTCTTCCTGCAATGAGCTACCCTCCTTGGTCACCCTTCTAAACAACTCCCTGTCGGCCATCCTCGGCGCACTTGCCCCTGTCATTTCCCACACCGCCTCCTACTCGCACAAATCCCCCTGGTACACCAGCCACCTCCACTCCCTCAAATCTCAGTTGAGTTCTGCCGAATGTACCTGGCGCAAGTCCAAATTAACGGTTCACCATCAGATCTGGCAGGACAGTTCCAAGACCTACAGTACTGCTTTTGTCTCAGCTAAGTTGTCCTTTTATTCCAAAATCATCTTGGAAGCTAAGGAAAACCCCAGACTCCTCTTTTCTACCATAAACTTACTCCTCCATCCACCCTCCCGTGGCTCTGCCATCCACTCCTCCAATACCAAATGCGAGGAAGATCTGCTCTGCTGCCTCTGGCCCTTTTACCGGCATCCAGTCCGTACCTCCCGCTCCCCTTCTAGCTCCCTCCATCCCTCCCTCCGCACTTTTGACCCCGTCTCCCCCTCGTCTCTCACCTCCTTCATTTCCCATATGAAACTCACCACCTACTCCCTTGACCCCATCCCTACCCTCTCCTCACCTCCCAGCTCCATCTCCTTGCCCCCCAACTAACAGACCTCGTTAACCTCTCCCGGTCCATCCCCCTAAAGACAGCCATCATCACCCCTACCCTCAAAAAACCTTCCCTTGATCCATCTCTGCTCCAGCTTCCCCCCATTTCAAATCTTCCTTTTCTGTCAAAGGTCATAAATTGAGTCATCGCTTCCCAGCTTCACTCTTTCCTCTCCCAGCATTCTCTCCATGAACCCCTCCAATCTGGATTTCATGCTGTTCACAGCCGCTTTTGATACTATTGACCTTCTATTCTTCTCCACCGCCTCTCCTCTCACCTCCACCTTAATGGTTCTGTTCTTGCTTGGTTCCAATCCTACTTTTCCCACCATCTGCACTTCATGTCCACCAACGGCTTCTCCTCTAGCCTCTGAACTGTCACGTGTGGCGTCGTCAGGGCTCTGTCCTCGGTTCCCTCCTCTTCAATCTATACATGCTCCCGCTCAGTGATGTCATCCATAGGCTTGGGGTCAATTTCTACATGTGTGCGGATGACACAAACTCTTATCTCGCCGCCTCCACCCTCGACTCCAGAACCGTTGATGTCCTGGCTAATTGTCTGTCTGACATCAAGTCCTGGATGAGAGCCAACTTCCTCCAGCTCAGTGTTAGCGAGACCGAGACCCTCCTGCTAGGCGCCCGGCAGCGTCTCCTCACCTCAGCTGCTGACACTATCACCGTTCATGGTTGCTCTCTTCACCTCACTGAGCCAATCCGAAACCTCAATGTCCTTTTCGACCCTCAGCTATCCTTCAAACCCCACATTCGTGCAGTGACCCGTTCCGCCTTTCCCCATCTCTGCAACAATACCCGACTCCGCCACTGCCTCTCACCGCAGGTCGCCGAGACCCTGATCTACGCTTTCATTACATCCCGGCTTGACTACACCAAGTGCGTGCTCACTGGACTTCCCAACTCTTCCCACCACGAGCTGCAGATTATTCAGAACTCTGCAGCTTGTGTCCTCTCCCGCACCAGGCTCCAGGAACATATCAACCCCGTTCTTGCCCGGCTTCACTGGCTCCCCATTCCTCAGAGAATCGAGTACAAAACCCTTGTTCTTACCTTCAAGGCCCTCCAAGATCTTGTTTCCCCCCACCCCCCACGTCTCTGACCTCATATCCTCATATCAGCCTGTCTGCTCCCTCTGCTCGGTGGAGACTGGCTGTTCAGGTTCCCCCCGCACTTCCTGCCCCACCATGTTCTGTCAGGCATCAGCATCTCTGCCCCCACCCTCTGGAACTCTATCCCACAATCCCTCTACCTCACCCCCTCTCTTGCCTCCTTCAAATCCCATCTGAAGAGCTTCCTCTTCGACCATGCCTTCTGCCGCGCTCTTGATCTTCCAACCTAATTCCATTTACCCGTCCTATCCTCATATGCCTTAGTCCCTCTATTCTTTAGAATTAGATTTTATCTAATTAGATTTGCCGCTTACTTTCTTATACTGATCTCCTCTCATTTTGAACTCACCAACACGTAGAAACAGCCTATCAGCTACCTCTATCATGGTTAATAGCTGCTAAAACCTGTGTGTAGGTTCTGTCCCTCTGATGCCTCCTATTACACAAGGAATTTGGTTAAGTCTTTTTCAATTTCTCTAGAAATTCTGTGATTTGCTCTCGCTTAATCTTCCCACTGAATTTCCATTTGTGAATGGTTCTAACAGATAGCTTGTAAATCTCTTTGACCGTGCCTTCAGCTCCCCTCTCGACTCTCTTCCTCCTCCTCGCTCCCTCCCTTCCCTCCCCTCACCCTGACCATTTCCCCCCTCCTCTCTCCCTCCCTTCCCTCCCCTCACCCTGACCATTTCCCCCCAATGCTCGGGTCATGACCCAACTGTGCAGCGCCTTGGGATGTCCTCCTGACGTGAAAGGCGCTCTATAAATGGAATCTTGTTGTTGTTGTTGTAAATCAATGTGTGTCTGGGTTAGGTGAGCAGAGGTGAAGTACATGATACTTTATAGTAAATTGTGTGAGGCGTCCTCCCGACATGAAAGGCACTATATCACATGCAGTGATTATTAGTATTGTCGTGTGGATGGAGTGCTGGTCTATTCACACTGCTTTAGGTTTGACCCTCAGAAGATGTGCCTAGTGTGGTGTGAGGCTAATCCTGCATTCTGTAGTTTTACATCATGGTACAGATATGTTACTGATAAAGTCGGCCAAAAGCCAGGCTGTTGGCAAGCTTCCTTTAGAGATTTAATGGTTGTTTAATTCCATGCTTCAGAAAGTAAACTAACCAAGTCAATGCCAGTACAGGCCACAATCAGCTGCACTGCTGGGCTGCTTGGACTGATTTATGCTCTGCCTTCCCATTTCTATTTAAGTTTCACATCAATCCTGTAGTGTAGTGGTTAGAGCGCTCGCCTCGCAATTGAGAGGACCCAGGTTCGATTCCCGGGCAGGGTGAAACTTTAGGCAAGTTTCCCTATTCCACACACACACACACACACATATACACCTCTGTTTACCTAAGAGTAAGTAGGAACCTAGCCGTTAGTCAATTGGTGGATCACATTCCGGGGGTAATAATCTCTCCCCCAAAAAACTGGTCTCAATTCATGATTGTTTGTGGAACACTGTTGTGCGCAATTGACTGCCGTTTTATCATAGAATCATAGAACTATACAGCACAGAAGGAGGCCATTCGGCTCATTGTGTCTGTGCTGCTCTTTGAAAAGAGCTCCCAAATCAATCCTACTCCCCCACTCTCTCCCCATAGCCCTGATCAACCCCACTCCCCCACTCTCTCCCCATAGCCCTGATCAACCCCACTCCCCCACTCTCTCCCCATAGCCCTGATCAACCCCACTCCCCCACTCTCTCCCCATAGCCCTGATCAACCCCACACCCCCGCTCTACCCCCATAGCCCTGCAAACTTGTCCTCCCCAAGGGGGCGGAAAACTTGTCTTACGCCCACAAAGTGCTTCACAGAATATATCCACCACAATATATTCTCTGAAGAGCTTTGAGATGTCTCAATGACAAAATAAGGCGTTACAGCAAATGCAAGGATTATTATTATTCTGTTGGAATGGTTTGTATGCAGCAAGTAAATACTTTATTTAGCAGAAACCTGTGGTGTGGCAGTGTTGTAATGTTTTTCATTGTCGCTCTGGTCTGGTCCAGTCATACAGTCACTAACCGGCACCTCTTTATGTGACAGAGAGCTGTTCCTCAAGACCAACGCTCAACTGAACATTCGATGTCGACAGCTGTTGTCAGAACTCTCTTACATATACCCAGTTGAAGTGGTAAGTTTACAGTTTTCTTTCTTTGTGTATTTTTTCCTCGACTTTGTATTTGTTTTCTGCCTCGCTGAGCATCTCTCTTTCCTCTGCTGGGAGTTCCTGAACTTCCTCAACATCACCTCCTTGCAGGTGATTCCAGACAACATTGTCCTGATGTGAGACAATCCTCTAGTGAAAGGCTCTTTATTGTTGTTGAGCATGAATGTAGGAAGCCTGGAGCAAGTTTCTTTCTCTGGTGGGAAAAGGTACAAATGGGAGCATGTGATTGAATTTATGGCTCCTTTCTTTTAGTTTGTTTTATTATCCGAGACTTGATTTTATTTAGTTCTGCTACACAGATGCCACCATAGTAAATATTCCTGTTTGAGACAGCTCCACAATAGAATGCTCCAGTAACAATGTGAGCTGCTGGTCAGGAGAATGCCTCAATAAAACGTTGTGGTTTTGAAGACACAGGGACAGTGCTGTTGTGTGTATGCTTGTACCTTCTGAACACAAGCCAAGCCTAAACATGGGGCACAAGAGAGAGAGAGACCTGGTGCAGAACACAGGCTCTTTGTGTTGAATCGTCCTTTCACTCCCAAACAGTCTTTCACTCAAGAAGCTTGTTCCTTGTTGTTTGTGATACACGAGTTGAACGATCAATTAAACCGTGGCTTGCAGTAATCTCACATGAAATGCGCTATATACCTGTCAATTCGCATTATTATATTAATAATCCTTGCATTTGATATAGCGCCTTATCACATTTTTGAGGCATCTCAAAGCACTTCACAGAATTTACTGTAAAGTGAAGTGACTGTATTTTGTGGGAGAAACACGGCAGCCAATTGCACACAGCAGCATCCCACAAACAGTTGTGGATTGAGTGACCAAATTATTACATTTAGTATGTCGAGGAGGTTGTTAAATGTTAACTGATTTTGTGGGCAAATATTATTGTGTTTTGTGCAGACTGACCAGAAGGATTACATCATATGTGGAGTCAGGCTACCCAATTCCGAAGACTTTCAAGGTACGCAAGATATATTCTTCACTTGACATCTAAGCAATTTTGATTCACTGAGCTGCAGTTGAATGTAAACTCAATGATTCTTTTGGTCAAACATTAGTGTAGCACCATAACTTGTAGTCGAGACGTCTCCAAGCGCTTCACAGGATATCATAGAGTCTTATAGCACAGGAGGAGGCCATTCAGCCCATCTTGCCTGTGCCGACTCTTTGAAAGAGCCACCAACTCTGGTCCCAGTCCCTCTCCCCCCCGCTCTTACCCCACAACCCTGCACATGTTTCTTTATACAGGTATACTGTACAGTGGATAGACGTTGTGTGTTTTGTGGATGAAACAAACAAAAAAATTGGTCACTTCAACCCACGGCTGTGTGTGGGACGCTGCGGTGCGCAATTGGCTGTCGCGTTTCGCCCACAAATATACAGTCAATTCACTTTACAGTGTATTCTGTGAAGCGCTTTGAGATGTTGAGAAGACATGAAAAGCGCGATATCAAATGCAAGGATTATTATTATTATAAATACAAGCGGTCACTCACTCCATGGCTGTTTGTGGAACATTGACTGCCGTGTTTTGACCACGAAATACTCAGTCAATCCGCTTTACAATATATTCTGTTAAACGCTTTGAGACGACTCAACGACATGATATCAAATGCAATGATTATTATTATTATTCGCCCTCATATTAGAAGCATTGTGGGCTTACATACTGAATGCATCACATGAGCTTTCCAGGCATCGCAACAATGCTGCTTGTTGTGTTGTGTTGGACAGTGATAACCTTCTATAATGTAGAGCAATTTTAGGCTTTCCCTCCTTCCTCAAATTGCTCTTAACATTTATCATTTTGTTTCAAACCTTGTTTGTCTCATAACTTCAACTTGTCTTTTAACCATCTGCTGAAACACAGAGAAAACTTAGAATCATAAAGAAATATCGTTTTCGGTTTGAAAAGTGTTACTCATCCAATTTCCTCCACGTCAGAACTCGTGTTGGTAAGAATTAGATTTATCTTTTTCCGAATGAGAAAATGACACTTCAAAGGCTGGGCTGATAATTAGAGCCAGCTTTGTCACGGTGGCTGACCTGACTTGGGTTGGTGCAGCCGGTACTTATTGTGGTTTACAGAAACACTCAATGAGATCAGGCCCTAAGGTGAACATTCACGTGTTATTTTGCATGTTATTTTTGACCCAGTAAACTTGCAGTTCATCCCTCCCATCCCACACCTGTGATGCATTTCCTAAATGCTCATTACTGATGTCTAAGCCATGGCAGGTCTTAATGTGCACAAGCTGCTCACTTCCAGCATTCGTACATATACATTACATTTACAGTTTACATTTATAGTCTTTCATGTCAGGAGGACGTCTCAAAGCACTTGACACTACACCGCTGTCTGGGCAGCCGAGCTGGGGTTGGGGAGGGGAAAGTGATCCAAAGGGCAGTCACAGAGGCACATCTTGATATATACATGTATGTGCGCGTGCGTGTATAAATACATTTATAACAATAACAACTTGCATTTATATATAGTGCTTCTCACGCAGGGCAGCGTCCCAGAGTGCTTAAATAAATATATGTTTTGCGCACAAAATATACAGTCAATTCACTTTACAGTATATTCTTTGAAGCACTTTGAGACGTTTCAACGACGTGCTAAGGCGGCATATCAAATGCAAGAATTGTATATTATATAATATTTAATATCTCTTGAACTGACTGGGTCTATCATTAAACCAGAATTCAATGTGACAAGGATGTAAATGTTAAACACAGACTTACAAGAAGAATTGATGCAGAAAAATAATGAAGCATTTTGGTTTTAATATATAGTGAGTGGGAGTTCTTGCAGTACTTTGCTTGCATTAAAAGGTCACATATTTGGGTCTCGTAGCTACAGAGGTTAGCTGAATAAATGGAGTGTTAATGTGTTTCAAACAAAAAAAATTGAAACCATATTGAAAATGTTACAAGAACATTTTTTCCAAAAGGCTGATACATAGATATCAGTGGTTTACTTAGAATTTTTTTTAAAAAAAGGTTTATTCCAATTTTGATTTATTTAGCAGTAGATAGATTTTGGTCACACGGGAATGTGCATGAAGGGATTTGAAGATGAGTGTGAGGATCTTCAAATCTATCCGTTCAGATCCATTATAATTTTTTTTAAACAGTACAATCTCCTGATTATTTGCCCCCATGTCTAAACCGCCCGTGTTGGATACCCCAGTGATCTAGGTTACCAACGGTTACTTCAGTCGTCTCTGAGTCGGGAGGTTTAAGCCGGATATCGGGACTCAGACTCATATAGTCTAAGCTGACACTCCAATGCAGTAATGGAGATGCGTTAAACTGTTTTAAGTGCCGTCCTTTAGATGAGACATTAACCAAGGTCCTGTGAGCCTGTTCAGGTAGATGTTAAAGATACTAATGGTGCTATTCTTAAAGAGTTTATCCCTTTAATAAATTGGTCAACAATCCCCCAGATAAAATGAATCTCTTGTTTCACAGCTGTTTGCGAGACGTGTGTGCAATTGTGCTGCCTTGTTCGCCTACAGATACAAAGTCACTTCACTTCACAGTAAACCACAGAGTGCTTTGGGATGTCCTCCCAAGGTGAAAGGCACTGTACCACAGGAAAGGATTATTATTGCTAATGTCGGAGAGTGTTTATTTATATTGGTTTGGAATTGGTTTTCCAGCCCAGGTGCAATAATTAATTATCAGAGAACTAATGTGTCTTATTATGTGCCATGTGTAAACCATGTGTACATGTACAATTACAAGTGACCTTCATTGTGTAATAAGCACTGGTTGTTAATTGCATAATCAATCCTTTTCATTGGTTAATTACATAATCACAGGCATCTGTAATTCCTTCTGTGCCTTTTCACATCTCAAAAGGCGTCACAGGTTGTACTGTAGGAACCCGGTTGTTAGTCAATCGGCAGATCGATTTCTCGTAGTAATAATCGCTTCAAAAGAAAATTAACAAATCCACGACTGCTTGTGAGATACTGCTGTGCACAATTGGCTGCTGCATTTCCCCCACAAAATACACACTCAATCCACTTTATGTATGTCCTGTGAAGCGCTTTGAGATGTCGCAACAACGTGATAAAGCGCCAGATCAAATTCACGATTATTATTATTGTTGTAAAGTGGAGTGACTTTATTTTGTAGGCAAATGTGGCAGCCAATTTGTGCACAACAATGTCCTATAAACAAATCTTGAAGTGAATGAGCAATTTTTATTTGACATAATTTCTCTGAATATCGAGCAATAATGTTTGTTATATTTTAGAGTCCAGAATCATCGCATTATATTAGTACCTAGGTTTATTACTAATGACTGATTAGAACCTGGCTTTATTACTGTCCAGCTGTACCCGGTGCAGCTTCGCTTGCAGCCAGAGAATCCAATATGGAATGTGGATTAACACAAAGACAGACATTTGTCTTTATCTACACTCAGTGGGAGGGCTCCTGTGGGAGGGCTCCTGTGGGAGGGCTCAGTGGGAGGGCTCCTGTGGGAGGGCTCAGTGGGAGGGCTCAGTGGGAGGACTCAGTGGGAGGGCTCCTATGGGAGGACTTATTAGGAAGGCTCCTGTGGGACGACACAGTGGGAGGGCTCCAGTGGGAGGACACAGCACTTTAAAAATGTAATTTTGTTGTTGTTGCTGCGGCTCAGCTTTGTCTGTGTTCTTTGTTTTGTTCCCGCCACTTGGCTACGTGTGTGCTCAGTGACACACCCGCCACGGTCAGCCGGTGTGGCCACCAGGTGTACCTGCAGTGTGTGAGTACATACACACGTGTGTGCTCGGTGACACGATGCCACAGCGCCACGGTCAGCCGGTGTGGCCACCAGGTGTACCTGCAGTGTGTGGGTACATACGTTGGATGCTCTGTGACACGCGATGCCACAGCGCCACTTTGACTCGGTGGCCATCAGGTGTAACTGCAGCAAAAACCGCAAAACTGAAAATAACTCATAAACAACAGGAGATACCGGAAAATAAATATGCCCATGTCACTCCCAGTTACCAGACCTTTCCAATGAGGTACAAATCATGTCTCTACGTCAATTGGTTATTGAGATCCTTCTTGAAGCGCAGACAGACTTTGTTGTTTTATTAGTATAGAAGACTGATTAGTACCCAGGTTTAGTACTGATGACCGGTTGCCCCCAGTGGAAGCTGGGGGACCGGCCACATCGGGATTCGATGTTTTGTTCAGATTAAGTGGCATCCGAGGTTAAATTCCTTTACCTCTTCCCGCCCAGCAGAGGAGCGTCTCCTCCTCCCTCCCATTGCCGTTCCCAATTAGTGGCGGCTCCCAGCCTTGGAGCAACATCCCTAGCTATTGAGCAACGGTACATAAATGGAGGTGCAAGCTTACGCTGCAGCTGTTATCTCTGCATATCAATAAAGGTAGATTCCAAGTACTGCAGATATGAACATGCCACAAACTCAGACTCCGTGTAACAGCTTCCAGAAAATATCTTTCCAGCCACATAGTTTCCACATGGGCTATTTGACAGGAGCTCACGAGACTTGGTAAACTTTGTTACAGCACTGATCTGAAAGATTTAAACTACTCCGGTACTCCTTGTTTGAACTTTGACGTCAGTGTGGTAAACCACAACACTGCCGAGAAAGCTTTCAGGAAAGCATGAACTTGCACTTTTATAACCTTCTGTCAAAACCCTGTAAGTGCTTTATAATAATTACTATCAAGTGTGGCGGTTGGTTTTATAGGTATTTGCGATAGCAATAAACAGCCATGAGGTAATTGGCTGACTGATTTATCTGAAGAATTGGTGAGATGCAGGCACAAGTTCCCACATGGGGTTATGATGTAGTGGCAATAACGGAGACCTGGCTCAAACAAGGGCAGGAAGAGCTGAATATTCCTGGTTACAAGGAATGTGGAGTCCTGTAGCTCAGTGGTTAGAGCACTCGCTTTGCAAGTGAGAGATCTGAGTTCAATTCCAGGCAG